ATGGATTGGCTAAGTGGCAGCATCGATGGACTAAAACGTGACAACAGATTGGCCCAGGATCAGGCAATGTTTCATTCTGCTGTGCATAGGGTCACTATGAGTCGGTACCAACTCGATGGCACGTAACAACATATATAATATATATATATGTATGCATATATATGTGTACATTTCAAACCATCTTGTAGTACAATGCATTAACACACGACACCATAGATCCATATATGTGTGTGTGTGTGTGTATATATATATATATATATAAAATGCACGGCACCATATATCCACATATGTATATATAGAGAGAGAGACAGAGACAGAGGCAGGGAGACAGCAAAGACTGAGATCTCAGAACAATGGTTCATGTAGTTACAGCTTCCAAGTCCCCGGTACATGGAACATGAGGCTGGAGTCTTCTGATTAACATAGCCATTGGGGCTGACAGTCCCAAGACAGGGAAGCTAGACCACAAGCTGCAGGCACTGACACATCCCAAAAATGGGATGTCAATGAGGAGAGAGGACGTGAGATCTAGAGCTAACAGAAATCTTATAGGCTTTGCCAGTACATCCTACTCTAGCTGATGCAGGCCACACCCCTAAGGAAACTTCCTTTCAACGGATTGGCTGCTCACAGCAAACCTCATGGAAGTGATGACATTATATCAGGTCTCATCCTAAGCAATGACTTCATCATACCTGCTGACCCAGTGATGCATGGTCGAGCCAAGTTAACATTTAACCCTAACCCATCACAGACCTGTGTTGAAGTCTTTCCATGGATTATCTGATTGAATCCTTAAGACAATTCCAGAGATGGATACTATTATTCCCATTGTACAGATGAGCAAAAGGAGGCTCACAATGTTACATAACAAAGGTCTGTTGCCAACTACTAAATGATGGAGCCTAGAGTCAATAATTCAAAGACACTGAGTTAATTAATTTGCACGCTATTTACTTATAAAGGGGGGAATCCTTAGATTGAGTTCATCTAGAAAAGGTAAGAAGAGAATTTTTATACAAGACAGAAAGGAGAGGTGTAAGATTGTCATGGTGGCAGACTCAGGCCGCCTGGGTTAACTTCACAAGGGCAGAGGGGAATTATTATCAGCATCAAAAGCCCACGACTAATTCCTATGACGTAGAGGAGTTCAGACATAGCTCCAGCCTCCAAACTTTGTACTAATCCACCACCAGCCACAGTACTTTCGACTTCTCTGCTGGCTTCAGTCATTCCTTACAATGGCCACACAG